TTCCCAGAACTCCATTCCTGGGCATGATTTTGAATGCCCGGAGCCAACTGTAGGCCACCCCGTGGTCTTCGAGTTCCCGGGGCTCCATTCCTGGGTATGATTTTGAATGCCCGGAGCCAACTGTAGGCCACTTCGTGGTCTTCGAGTTCCCAGAACTCCATTCCTGGGGATGATTTTGAATGCCTGGAGCCACCTGTAGGCCACTTCGTGTTCTTCGAGTTCCCGGAACTCCATTCCCGGGCCACATTTTGAATGCTAAGGCAGGCTGAGGCTGAGGCTGAGGCAGGCTGAGGTTGAGGCCGAGGCTGAAGGCAGACTGAGGCTGAGGCTGAAGCAGGCTGAGGCTGAGGCTGAGGCTGAGGCTGAGGCTGAGGCTGAGGCAGGCTGATGCTGAGGCAGGCTGAGGCTGAGGCAGGCTGAGGCTGAGGCTGAGGCTGAGGCTGCAGGCTGAGGCTGAGGCAGGCTGAGGCTGAGGCAGGCTGAGGCCAAGGCTCAAGGCAGACTGAGGCTTTGGCTGAAGCAGGCTGAGGCTGAGGCTGAGGCTGAGGCTGAGGCAGGCTGAGGCTGAGGCTGAGGCAGGGTGAGGCTGAGGCAGGCTGAGGCTGAGGCCGAGGCTGAAGGCAGACTGAGGCTGAGGCTGAAGCAGGCTGAGGCTGAGGCTGAGGCAGGCTGAGGCTGAGGCTGAGGCAGGATGATGCTGAGGCAGGCTGAGGCTGAGGCTGAGGCTGATGCAGGCTGAGGCTGAGGCAGCCTGAGGCTGAGGCCGAGGCTGAAGGCAGACTGAGGCTGAGGCTGAGGCAGCTGAGGCTGAGGCTGAGGCAGGCTGAGGCTGAGGCTGAGGCAGGCTGATGCTGAGGCAGGCTGAGGCAGAGGCTGAGGCAGGCTGAGGCTGAAGCCTGAGCTGATGCAGGCTGAGGCTGAGGCAGGCTGAGGCCGAGGCCGAGGCTGAAGGCAGACTGAGGCTGAGGCTGAAGCAGGCTGAGGCTGAGGCTGAGGCTGAGGCAGGCTGAGGCTGAGGCTGAGGCAGGCTGATGTTGAGGCAGGCTGAGGCTGAGGCTGAGGCTGATGCAGGCTGAGGCTGAGGCAGGCTGAGGCTGAGGCCGAGGCTGAAGGCGGACTGATGCTGAGGCTGAAGCAGGCTGAGGCTGAGGCTGAGGCAGGCTGAGGCTGAGGCAGGCTGAGGCTGAGGCTGAGGCTGAGGCAGGCTGAGGCTGAGGCAGGCTGAGGCTGAGGCCGAGGCCGACGGCAGACTGAGGCTGTGGCTGAAGCAGGCTGAGGCTGAGGCAGAGGCAGGCTGAGGTTGAGGCTGAGGCAGGCTGATGCTGAGGCTGGCTGAGGCTGAGGCTGAGGCTGATGCAGGGTGAGGCTGAGGCAGGCTGAGGCTGAGGCCGAGGCTCAGGGGGAGGCAGGCTGAGGCTGAGGCCGAGGCCGACGGCAGACTGAGGCTGAGGCTGAAGCAGGCTGAGGCTGAGGCAGAGGCAGAGGCAGGCTGAGGCTGAGGCAGGCTGATGCTGAGGCAGGCTGAGGCTGAGGCTGATGCAGGCTGAGGCTGAGGCAGGCTGAGGCTGAGGCCGAGGCTGAAGGCTGAGGCAGAGGCAGAGGCAGGTCTGGATGTAGAAGTGAGGCTGAGCTGAAGCGGGGGGGAGGTGAGGCAGGCTGAGGCTGAGCTGAGCTGATGAGGCTGAAGGCTGAGGCAGCCTTGTGGTCTGAGGCCGAGCTGAAAGATGACTGAGGCTGAGGCTGATGCAGGCGAGGGCTGAGTGAGTCAGCTGATGGCTGTGCTGATGGAGGCAGGTCTGAGGTGAGGAGGCTAGAGGTGAGGCAGGCTGAGAACGGCAGGTGAGGCTGAGGGCTGAGGCTGAGGCAGGTCAGGATGAGCAGGCTGAGGCTGCGGCCGAGGCTGAAGGCAGACTGAGGCTGAGGCTGAAGCAGGCTGAGGCTGAGGCTGAGGCTGAGGCTGAGGCTGAGGCTGAGGCAGGCTGAGGCTGAGGCAGGCTGAGGCTGAGGCCGAGGCTGAAGGCAGACTGAGGCTGAGGCTGAAGCTGAGGCTGAGGCTGAGGCTGAGGCTGAGGCAGGCTGAGGCTGAGGCTGAGGCTGCAGGCTGATGCTGAGGCAGGCTGAGGCTGAGGCTGAGGCTGAGGCCGAGGCTGAAGGCCGACTGAGGCTGAGGCTGCAGGCTGAGGCAGGCTGAGGCTGCGGCTGAGGCTGAGGCAGGCTGCTGAGGCAGGCTGAGGCTGAGGCTGAGGCTGATGCAGGCTGAGGCTGAGGCAGGCTGAGGCTGAGGCCGAGGCTGAAGGCAGACTGAGGCTGAGGCTGAAGCAGGCTGAGGCTGAGGCTGAGGCTGAGGCTGAGGCTGAGGCTGAGGCTGAGGGAGGCTGATGCTGAGGCAGGCTGAGGCTGAGGCTGAGGCTGAGGCAGGCTGAGGCTGAGGCAGGCTGAGGCTGAGGCCGAGGCTGAAGGCAGACTGAGGCTGAGGCTGAAGCAGGCTGAGGCTGAGGCTGAGGCAGGCTGAGGCTGAGGCTGAGGCAGGCTGATGCTGAGGCAGGCTGAGGCTGAGGCTGAGGCTGATGCAGGCTGAGGCTGAGGCAGGCTGAGGCTGAGGCCGAGGCTGAAGGCAGACTGAGGCTGAGGCTGAAGCAGGCTGAGGCTGAGGCTGAGGCAGGCTGAGGCTGAGGCTGAGGCAGGCTGATGCTGAGGCAGGCTGAGGCTGAGGCTGAGGCTGATGCAGGCTGAGGCTGAGGCAGGCTGAGGCTGAGGCCGAGGCTGAAGGCAGACTGAGGCTGAGGCTGAAGCAGGCTGAGGCTGAGGCTGAGGCAGGCTGAGGCTGAGGCAGGCTGAGGCTGAGGCTGAGGCAGGCGGAGGCTGAGGCTGAGGCTGCGACTGCCGTTGCCACTGCGACTGTCATCGCGAATGTGACTACGACTTCGAGAACAGCAGAGTTCTACAACTGGATTCTCATCTGAATCTTAAGGGGAATACTTCCAGATATGCTCCTACACATCGCTGTTAGGTTGCTTTGCCGGGATAATGCCTTTTTTCCGCATCCATTTCTTGCGTCCAAGTCTTTGGCTTGAGCTGCCCGCAGTTTCTGGGCCTCATCCAGCGAACAGCACTGAATATCGGAGCCGGTGTCGCCCCCTATCAAGGCTGGCACAGCGGAGCATCGCTGGATCGGGCAACAGGGCGACGTTCGCAGGAGGAGGTCCAGGAAAGGGGAAGGTGGGCCGCGCTGAAGTCGGCATAGAGGTGCGAGAAGTCAGGAAAAAGGTTGGACGAGAGTTGGGAATGTCATCAGGAAGCGACAAAGACTCATTGCGTGACCGCCGCGAGGCAGTTGGGGGATGTGCCACTGCTGGGCCGCCCCGCGCCGACGCCGCCATTTGTCCGCCGCGAGGGCTCTCGCGGGGGCCTGCGAGTCGAGACTTGCCGCGGCAGATGACCCCCTGATTGCAGGATGCATTTCCTGGCGGCGGCGGGGTCGGTGGCTGCGCGAGAAGACTGGGGCGCGATGCAGCGTGTCTCGACCTGGAAAGAGGGCTGGGCCAAGACGCGCGCAGCTCTTTCAGATGTCAATGATTGAGCGGCACTTTAAGCTCGACCTAACAAGAGCGGCGATGTTGGCGCCTCCTTGCTCGTCCTTTTCGCTCGCTCGGAGCCGCTATCCTGTCCGGGGCGCCGCTCAACCCGAGGGGCTTCTGTCGTTGCGGGCCGGCGACAGAGAGGCGGTCCACGTTGGAAGTCTTCGCATGAGGGTGGCTGTCTTTATTGCGAGAGTGCGTCGTAAGTGCGGGGCCCCCTTTGCCTTGGAAAATCGCTTGGCCTCGCGTGCGTTGCGATGCCGCGATATGGTCTCTCGCGCGCTGCCATACATGTGCATCGATGTTTCTTGGGGGCGAGGTGGAGAAAAGCGACCCGGGTTGCTTCTGGCTGCGTGACTGAATTTGGAGGCTTGGCGTCGCGTGCACCGAAGCCGCTTGAAATGTCACGGGAAGCACGTATTGTTCTATCAGGCTTGGTCAGAAATTCGTCGCTCTCGAAGGGATGGCGATGCTTGCGCGAGCGGCTCAGTTCCCCTCTCGAATGTCATTGTGACTGTGTAAATCACTGTTGAACTTGTGATGAGGAGGGATGCTGCTAATTCCGTGGCTCCCAAGGTCGACGCGTGGTCCGTCCCCGTAGAATGGTTTGTGCCGCTGCGCTGAGAAGTTCGGCTTTGCGAAAGATATGGGCGATGAGCCCTGCCGTTGCATGCCTCGAACCCCTTGGTCGCGACCATGAGGTATCAGACTTCACCATTGAAAATGGAGACTGAGCATGAATGTGCGTTGCACGAGTTTGCTTGAGGTTTGTTTGCGCTGTTGTCGCCCCACAGCAGCCTTATCCCGACGCTGCTGGGGCTCAAACTTCCCCGCCCACGGCCACCGTGGACCTGTCATACATTTTGCGCGCGATGTCCTGCACCATTTCATTTTCTATATTCGATGAGCCTTGCCGTTGCATGCCTCGAACCCCCTGGTCGCGACAATGAGGTCTCAGGCGTCACCACTGAAAAATAATACTGCGCATTCGTTGATCCCGTGGCGAGAACGGGCGTGGCCAGGGGGGGATGGGGGGGGCGGTCACGCCACGATTCGCGGTAGCGCCGTCCAGGAATTGTTAAGAGTTGCTCGCATGGAGCGCCGGCGCGAATCGTGACGTAACCATGGAGGGTGGGGCGGTGGGGCGGGTCATTGGCGCCATCGCGGATAATGCAAACATGGGCTCCAGTCCTGGCTATACTGTTCCACTTCGCCGCCCGGCCCCGCGAGGCCGCGCCCCAGCGGATGCGGGGTGTTTTTCTTTTGTCTTCGGATGCCCCGCGCGGACTGCACCCGCGCGACCGCGTATCCGCAGTATCGCGCCCCTGAATCCAAACTTCGAGGGTGCGGATACGGACATGTTCCCCTTCGCCGTTCGCCACCTCGTCGCAAGCCCCCCGTCTCCGAGAGTCCACGCGCCAGGCTGCCGGTGGCTTCCAGGGTGTGGCGCCGCATCACCGGGTGCTGCCACAGGAGGAGGCCGAGCAGGCGGACGCCCAGTGACGGTCCGCAGCTGGGAGGCGTCCGCTGCATCCCCTAGGTCGTTGCTCGTTGTCGGCGGCGCGCCAAGGAGGGAAGTGAGAGTCACCAGAGCCCCGAATCATTGGGGCCGGGATTGATTGGTCAGGGGTCGCTCTTGGTTCGTGCTTCGGGGGCCAAACTGGATGTACCCTGGACTGCAGTTGCCCTGGATAACTCGGGCGTCCAGCCGGCTCAGGGTGGTCAGGGTAAATGCAGGTTCGTGCGTCGGGGGCCCCAACCGGAGTTCCCCGGGACCAAAGTAATCCAGGATAATGTGGGCGTCCGAAGTAACAGGCGGAAAAGGCACCCATACCGCCTGTTTTCTTTGTTATAGCTTTGTTGAGTTTCTTCTGAGGCCGTCGTCGCCAGGGTTAGATTTGCCTCAGAATGCTCTTCAGAATGCACCTGGGGTGTGGTCTGAGGAGTAGCGGTATCAGTTTCTTGGGGTTCCCTGAGGGGAGGCAGGTCTTCTCAGAAGGCGGCGGGGTTTCGGAGGAGGTTTGGAGAGTCTCAGAAGTCGTATGCCCTTTGAGCGTTCTGGGGGGCCCGCCCCTCCGCCATCCACCCTGGGTGCGCCGCCGAAGAGACCGAATGAGACAAGTCTGTGCAAACAGAGATTGTCGGAAGTCCGCGCAGACTTTTGTAGTCGCCCCCCCCCTGGCGGCGCCTCTGGCACCGCCCCGGTCGCGCTCCGCGCGCAAGGCAGAGGGATCGAGCGCCGATCCAAGGCATCCTTAGAAAGTTAATTCTTATGCTGACGTTTCTTCTTCTAGAGGCGTCCGATGCACTCCCGGGCAGCTGCTCGGGCTGGCCATGGAGGGCGAGCCTTGCCTGGCCTTTGGGCGAGCAGTCGCGGTGTTGTCGTAGCTTGGCTGGTCTCCCAGAGGGGGCAAGGGTAAAGGGGTCGCAGGATCGCGGCGCATCGCCGGATGGGACGAATTGTGGCGACGGTTTCGTAATTTCGGAGCATTCTCACTTCCTATCGGGGCTGGGTCGGCAGAGGTACTCAGTCGTAGAATCGCCGTTGCGAGAAGTTCGGGGGAACGGCTCGCAGGTAAGTGAACACGCAGGCAAGCAATCAAGCAAGCAAGTCGATTGTCGAAGAGAAAACTACGGCCATGGCGGGAGAAGGGACCCGCGCTGACAGAGCAGGGCAATCCGTAGAACGAGCAGGGGTCAGCGTCAGTTCTGAAGCAGTGGGTTGGGCAATTCATGCACTTCGCGGGGGTCATCCCCACAGCGAAGCCAGCGGTAACTGGAGGGATTCCCGAGGGTGTGCGCACATCGCCTCGCAGGGACCCCTACTCGCGTCTCGCGCTGCAGCCGCCCGCGCGGCTGCAGCGATAGCGCGCTGGCGGAGAGGCTATTCCGACCAGAGATCCCTCTGAACTCGTGCGCGTGAAGTTGCCCGGGCGTAAGAAACGTGCGCAGGCGTATCAGGGTCCTCCCCATGGCCTCTGCCTTCGGCACCGTGTCGCAGGATAGTCGGCCGACCCCCGTCCTTCAGGACTCAGGACCACCACCCCCAGGGAGGGACCCCCCTTGGGGCCAGCGGCTGAGTGAGGGGGGACCCCGGGGAGGGGGACAGGGGCGGAGGGAGGGGGCAGGAAAGGTCGCCGTCTGGGACTCTCTGCGCTGCTACATCGTCGAAGCAGCATGGACGTTGGGGCGGCCAGGAGCCTTTGTGGCAGGCCCCCCCGGACGGGAGTGGAAGAGATCAAGTCGGCGGCGAGCCCATAGGGGGGACGTGAGAGGGGGCAGGTTTTCTCAGCAGGTGGCGGGGCTTCTCAGAAGCCCTCGCGCCTTCCGAGAAGCTTTCTATGTCTTCGGGGAAGGCTCAGAGAACTCCTCAGAAGGCCCGAGGCCTTCCGAGCCTTCTGAGAAGGCCCGCCCCCTCTGCATTCCCCCCTGGGCTCGCCGCCGATCAAATGGCAGCGGGGAGGGAGGGCAAGGACGAGGGACAAGAACGAGGGAGGGCCTCGTGCAGCAGAGGGCCGCAGGGCCACAGGCATCGTCTCGGCCCTGGACCCAGCCGGGAATCGGCGGGTCGGAGACCTTGGCCTCAGTCTCGATTAGATAGATTGCGGGGACTATATGGCTTACGCCACACCGCTGGCCCCTTGGGGAACTGGTGGGTTGCTCCAGCGAGCCTCTTGGGCGCCTTTGGGGAGCTTTTTGGTGCCCTTTTGGGCGTTTCACGGGGCCTATGGGGAGCCTTTTGGAGCTTCGTGGTGGGTTCTCACGGGTTTCGGAGGGCCGAGGGCTCGGGTTCCTCTCCGGGGCCTTTCTTACGGCGGTCTCGGGCCTCTTATGGGCTATGCTGGAGGCCTCTGAGGCCGTCTTTGGAGCTGTGTGGGGGCTCTCTTTGCTTGTTTAGGGCTCGTGGGCTTCGTGGGGCGCCTGCTGGGGCTTCGTGGGGCGCCTTGGGAGCCCCTTGGGCCGTCCTGAGGCCAGCGTGGGCGTTTTTGATTGATCTTTCGGCGGCTCGTGGCCCTCTTGGACCGTCCAGAGGGCAGATTGGTGCCCTCTGGGCCTGTTGGGGGACCCTTTGCTCCCCCGTGGCGCGTTCGCCCGGTCCCCGCGGGACCACCCCCTTCCAAATCGACCAGACCAGGCTCAAGAGGGGGTTGGGGAGCGGGAAACACCTCACACGCCGGTGAACCCCAAGGGGTCGGCTGATTTTTTGTCCGCGGCTGAGCCTGAGTCTTTCAAGAGCCGTGGTCGGTTGGCCATCTCGAGGGCCAGGGGGGTCCAGGAACACAGGAATAATGTGCAAACAAACATACCCTCCAGAGCTGCCCAAGCGAACACATTTTCCGACAGCCGATCTAGATGTTTTGGGGGGCCGCGGGAGGGCCTGTCTGTGTTATTCCTGAGGCTCCTTGACGCCGCTTGGGGACCCACCGACTCCATTCGAGGAGTTCCATTTACAGAAAGCCCCGCGAAAGCGAGGGCCTCGGGAGGTGTAGACGAAGGCTGGCCCGCGCAGCATGTTTTTGGCGACGTTGGTCAGGCGCACATTAGCGGACTGGTCCTCGACGCCACGACGGATCGAGCGATGGAGAGAGGCCCGGGCTCGCGAGGCGTGAGCTATTCGCCCGCATTTTTTTGCTGCGCCCGATTGGAACACCGACGCCAGTATTTTGCTATTAGTTTTAAGCAGCATGCCATTTGTCTCACTGCATGCTATCGATTCTCTCCTGAGCCTTGCGGCCAGGCGCTGGCTCATGACGCCCAGTGACACGAGTGGGTTCGCGTTAGAACGTGTGGAACGTAGTGCTCCAGATCCCCGGCGGATCCCTTTCGACGTTACAGTGGGGCTACCGGCCAGATGCCCCCAGTGAATTTCCCCCGATTCACGCTGGATTGCCAGCTTTTTTTTGCTCGCGGTCGGGTTCGATCGATCTTTTTAGTTTTCGTCTCCGAGAATTGTTCACAAACCGCCGCAGGTTTGCAAGCATATGTCCTGGTTTAAGAAAAGCGTTCGTTCGTGTGTTCAAAATGTATGGTCAGATTTGCAGGCGGCTGCTTTCCTGATGCTTTTAAACAAGTGGAGCGTCGTGTCTACAACTTTGGAATTTGTTCGCTGAGCACATCGAATTGGCCCACGTGGTGGCTGGAAGCCAGTTTTCTGGATCGTGTTGTCTGTGCCATTTTTGTTCAAGGAAGGCTACACATACATATCGACGCGCAGAACAGGACAGCATTAGAATTGAGCTTCCGCCGCGGACGTTCGCTTGCCAGCCTTATTCAGGGAGGGTCCACGGAAAACAACATTGTGATGCATTCTTAGTAATGGGTGCCTCGTTGAGGACGCCAGGGTCATGACCAAAAACGGAGCGCGTCTTCAAGGGCGATGGGGCTGAGTGCAAGAATCATGCTCTGCAGCGGCTAGCGTACCAGCAAGACGCTGCTATCTTCTTCACCTTCTTTCCCCTGGCCTGGCTGCTGCAGGCCCAGGGGGACCTCGCCGGCGCCGAGCCGCTCTACCGCGAGGCGTTGCAGGCAAGCCGCGAGGTCCTCGGAGACCGGACCCCGACACGCTCACCTCGGTGAACAACCTGGCCTCGCTGCTGCAGGCCCAGGGGGACCTCGCCGGCGCCGAGCCGCTCTTCCGCGAGGCGTTGCAGGCTTCGGCGACCGGCACCCCGACACGCTCAACTTAGTGAACAACCTGGCCTCGCTGCTGCAGGCCAAGGAAGGCAACTGAGGTCCTGCCGCGCCGCTGGGGGCCGAGGGCGGCCCCGAGCCAGGCTGGCTGCCGCTACGCGCCCCCTCTCTAGCTCCTCCGCCTCCTCCTCCTGGAAGTTGTACGTGAATGATCTATGCGCGCTCGTAATTAGTTTTTCGGCTCAAAAGCATGAGGCCAGAGGTTGGCGTCGGTCTCCTCATTGTTGGACTTGCGAGGGAGGTCAACTCGCTAGCTTCACTTCCCAGTCGACACCTGTGCTCAGATAGTTTCTGTGATTGCCGTCTGGTTTCGGAGTGTCCGAGGACGGCCAACTGTGTGTGTCCGCTCACGCAGGTGCGGCAGCCCTTGTGTGGGAGCCGCCCGATTTCTTCGCCAGGACGTGCTTCGTTACCCCGCGGACGCGGACGTTTCCCTTGCCAATACTGGCCTTTTGGAGGTTTTACTCGGAGCAGCGGCGGGCGGTCTACTCTCTCGGCTTTGCGGTCCTCGTCGTGTTGCTGCCTCTCTTCGTGGAGGTCTCGGTCGCATCGAACAGTGATGGCGGGGGTCGCGGTAGCGTCGCCAGGAGGCTATGACATCTACTGGTACGAGGGGCGCTTCTACAGGCGTGGTCGGATTTTGCTGACGGGAGTTAAGTCTTTGGATGACAAAAGTATCTGGGAGGGGCCCGCACCTGTTATCTATGTCTGCGAGAAGGGGTGGACAGCCACTGGAGATCGCGGGCCGATCAGAGTTGAGGTTGAACCCTGGGACAAGTTCTCGGAGCTGAAGGCCAAGGTGTCGCAGGTCATCGAGTTCGATGGGCTCGAGGAGACGTCGCACGTGAGAGTGCAGGGCGACCATTTCGTGAGGTGCGTTAGCCGCGTCTTCGCCAACTTTGGTTCGGTCGTCGCGGCGCTCGAGTGTTTCAAGGTGGGTGGTTCCGACGGCTACTTCGCGGGCCGCAAGCTCCCGCTCTTGACGGGCCTGGTTGCTACTCACACGCTCGACGATCGTGATGGAGGCCCTAGCTCGCCAGCGAGGCGCTGCGCCCTGCTGGGGGACGTCGCGGGCCTGCAGCTCCCAGGAACAGGTGTGGAGCCTGGCAAGACGGGGAAAAAGGGCGCGAGCACGCTTGCGGAAAAGTCAAATGTTCTCACCCGCAGGGCGCGCGTCTGGACGGTCTCGGGCAAGGAGATGGTTGGGGACACCTTCTTGGTCTGTTCAGTGAATGATGTGCGTGCTCTCCTATGGTTGAGGGGATTGCGGGCCCAGCTGGGAATGGTGCCCACGTTCTGGTTCGCTCGCCATCACCTGACGGCAGATTGGTGTGAGAACGATCGCTCTTCTCAAGAGGTTCGGGATATGGCGGGGGCGTTCGAGCTAGCCGCCTCGCGCGTGAGCTCGGGGCGGAGAGGGCAATCTGTACCAGAGGCTCATGGTAAGGACACACTTATCCCGATCTACGAGATGGCCGACAAGTTCTTGTGCTACAATTGCCTACGTCAGCCTGCGGCGCCTGTGCTCTACACCTACGTGGCCAAGTCGGTGCGAGAGTGGGCGGGGATCGACAGGCAGATCAGCAAGGACGGGGCTTTGAAAGACGAGGCGGAGGTTGCCTTCGAGCGCGGTATGACCGCAGGGAAGGGCAAGGACAATGAGGAGGGCAAGGATGAGTGACGCCTCCACCCTTGCCAGCAAGACCAGAGAT